GCTAGCAGGTAATCGAGGGCGATACGGTTTTGTAATACTGTTTTCCTGATGGCATCAATTCTGCGCCGATTATCTCAAATCCATCGGCAGTGGTATTAACCAATTGTTCTAGGTCAGAAAACTTTTTACACTGCTCCCACAACTTATTAATACCTAACTGAGGGAGTAGGGTCCCCAGAAATCGATACCGTCCGTTGTGTAGCAATTCTGGGGCCATTATGCCATGGAGCCACTTCGCCAGATCGAAAACAAACATGTCAGCAATCGTAGCCTGATCCTCCTTATTTTGGGGCCTGAGATATGAAGGAGAGGAAATGTGTGCATTGAACTTAACCAATGAAGAATAGTGACGAAAGGTGCAGTCTATTGTACCTGCCAATTGGCAGCAAACCGCAAGCTGGGGAATCATACCATGTAACTTCTGTGAGACTGTCAAGAGGGGCGCCATGTTAGGTCCCTTTAGCAGAGTATCCAGCATGTGATCAAACACGGATACTTACTCCAGGGGTCAAAGGAACAGTCATCATCAGGAAAACGGTCACAAAAGGCCTAATTCTAGGACTTCCAGGATGTCACTTCCATGAGGAATTTGTAAGAACACTGATATTACAAGAACTATAGCCCAGTGTCATCGTACTTCAGGTGATATTGAGGCCATTTGACCCAATGCATACTCTACCCTCTTCGATGTCATGCAAGTGGTAGTATTTCATCATGTTCTGGAAGGGCTGCGCACCGCTTGCCTTAAGTATACCCAGGGTCAAGCTGCTGCCAGACCATTTCTGGTAGTGCCATTGTAACGCTGTGGGTCTAACAAACAGGGACACCATGTTTCCCCCTCCTGTGCCATAGTTACACAGCCAACAATTGCTCAGGTTGCTCATATCATGAGCAACCCAATATGCCTCAACCAAGCTCAAATACAAATTGGTGGAAATGTCAAGGGGCTTGGAACGGACGCTTCTTCAGTATCTTACTGCTGTTCCTGTAAGGCAAGCATTTTCCTGGGAGGCACATACAACCTCTGTAGGTTTAGGAGTTATGATGGGAGGGTACAGAGTTCAATTATATAAATTGAAACAAGTGCCTACAAACAATAACAGTCATAGTCTATATGGCAGGTATGAGGCATTTTCTGATGCAGATTGTCTCCTTCATGCACCTCTGAGCTTCCATTATGCTGAGGAAAGTGGTGTAGAGTCCTTCAGTTGTCGGAGGACAGATTGTGGTTCACTTCTTGCTGTTTTAGTCTGCTCCAGAGATTATACACCGGTGGGGAGCAGAGGTTACTAGCATTTGCATCCTATTGGGCAAAACGTGTTTGGCTTGGTGGGTTTGGATGGCTTGCATTGTGCAACTTCCTTATCTGGGGCTGGTACTGCCTTGCAGTATGAAGCATGCACCCAGGAGATAAGACCCTGATCAATCCCTTCCAACTTTTATTAAAATAGTACCAGCAGATGGCAGTAATAGTTTAAACAGTTTCACTGTATTCTCCTTAATGTGAAGATTACTTTTTCATAATAAACTGAATCAAGACTACATTTATGAAACAAGATAATAAGAGATGCAGCCTTTATTTCTACCCTGATGTTTATTTTGCTTCTTTTGCTGGTGGAGTAAAAGGTTATAATCCTGTTGCTGCCAAATATTTGAAGATAAGATGTGAAATTCATTCTGATAACAAAATACAATAATTCTCAATAATTTTGAAAATATCAAGTAGACACTTCTCTTCCTCATAGTTTTTCAGCTTCATTCTTTTTTTATAGGTATGTGCTTTTCCATAGTCAGCTGAGTTTATTCCTATTTTTATTTTTATTTGAGGGGCTTTTAAGATTTTTTTAATATTCAAGAGCTTCTTTCAGATTAAACTTTTCTATTTTTGCCTTCGTTTGGCATTTTGGGTCCTTCCATTGTATATATGATGCCTAATGCTTTAAACAGTGTCATGATATTATTTTCATGCAACATTAAATGTCTGAGGGATTTATTTAAAAAGAAATAATTGCAGCATAGAACCATTCTAAAATTTCAGCAGAAAGATCCCCATAATGTCCTGCATGATGTCTTAAATATGCATAAAAGTTTAACCTATTAATCATAGAAGAGATTGAAGGAAGCTATAGAAAAAGAAGTTTCCCTCTTTAAATTACTGAAGCAGTTATAGCATATGAAGCACGTCTTTTGAATGATTTACACAGTCCTATTGTATTTGCTAGTACATAAATGTTATTTGCTTCCCTTTAAAAAAAATAAAATCAACTCCTATTGTAAGATTTCTAAGGGAATACGCATTTTGATCCTGGACTGCAACAATTGCCGGTGTTTGTTCCTGTTCAGATATAGCAAACATCTTAAAACTGATTAAAAAGAATTTGATAAAATTCATTCCATAGCTCTCACATTTCAAATCCTTCATAAACCCATTTTAAATAGCAGTGATATACAACGTTTAGCTAAAATATAAAATTAATAATACTTTGAAGAGATATTCTGCCTTTCCCAATTAAGCACGGAGATATGAAACATAATTCAGTGTAATTTATTTGAAATGTTTTGAGAACAGTATAAGGCTATTATGCAAAAATATTTAATCACTAATACAGTATTTTTAATAAATGAAAACATACAACCTCTCTAACATTTTGGCAAGTATTTGTCAGTTCAGTAGTTCACAACTTAAGCACACAATCCTTGGTATATTTACTGAGAAATAGTCCCACTGTGTCATTTGGACTTATTCCCATGTGTTGTAAGACTGTAAAAATGGTAAGATTGCAGTTTAATGTATTTTCTATTATGTCTCCTTTGTAACTATTACTCCAAGCCCAGTCTGGAACATTGCATTAAACCACATCACTGGATCTGCTTCCCTTGATTGGTGAACATTTTCCAGAATAAAGCAAGTTAAATAAATTACAAGATTGAAACATGATCATAATATTTTAATCCCATACATACAGAAATATCCTAAACAGTGATAATTGTAATTAATACTTTTTTTAAAAAAAGTAAAATAATCTATTATATACTGATTATTTTAACATAATTATGTGTAACAGATTGTGAAACATAAAAAAAACCTGATACCTTATTTACTCCCCTAGTTTTTCTGTAAACATAAAATGTTTGATGTATACATTTTGTCAACATTACTGTTGTACTGAGGAGTCTATACTGTATGGAAAATAATAGTAACAATTATATTTCAGTGCACTAAGTTGTGTATTATAGGCCCATTTATAAGAAATCAGTAAAATACTGAATTTATTCTTGTTCAAACCTAATTGTACGTTTTTTAACTCAATTTCCCAGTTTATTGGCATTTTCCCAAGTTTAGCTGGGGAAGCAAATCAAAGAATAGCTGAACATTTTTCTGAGATGTTAATCAGAACACTTTGCAGTTGAGTTACTAGAATAAGAGTAGGTGCTACAGACAGTTCTCACAACAGAGAATTATAGAATGGTACAGATTGGTGCTAAAGAAGCCAATGCTTTCTCGGGAGGTCTGTTAGATGAAAATATCTGAATCATGGTTTTAATCGTGGCAATCATGGCTTATTTTAATCACTATTAACTAAGCAGTTTAAACTCCTGATAATACACTTTATAAACATGAAAGTGAATTAACTTAAAAACTTGGCCTTTCTAATGTTTTCTAGTGGGGAATCCCTATTCCAAATTTTTGCAAGGTTGATAATGTTTTGTTTACATCTGAATCACATTATATGTATTCTGAATTTTAATATGAGAAGCATATTAAATAAGTTTCTTATACAGAATTCATGACAGAAAGTATCTAGTCTCAGTAGTGGCAACAGGATATGATGCTTTTGTCAAAATGAAAAAAAAACAAAGCAGTGTCATCCTCTAAGTTTGTCCCTGTTGTATGTGTTTGTGATGTCACAACACATGTATAAAAGGGATGGACCTTGTGGCTTCTTTTATCATTTGCCATCTTTTTCCTGTCAGGCATCTCCATCTGTATCTACAACGAAGGCTAGGAATATGAGCAATCATGGAAACTGAGAAAGAGAAGGTTTATTTGCTGCTCACCCAACTAATTTCCCCACGATAAGTCTTGATTATAATTTTTAAAATGTAAGACAAACTAAAAAAGCACCATTTTATATACAAACTGATATGTTACCTCAGAAAGGCTACACAAAGCAAAATAATTCTGTTTAAATGAACTCAAAATATTTCAGCTGTCATTTTTGGTGCTTCCATGTTTTTTTAATGTTTATTAAAATTGAATCTGCTTATTTCACAGCACAAGCATACAAAGTTTTAGATTTTCAGTATTAAAGAAGTGCCAATTTTTCAAATGATTATCTTGCATGTATGCACTTAGAGAAACCCTATTTTATTGCATTAGCCATGTTAATTGTTGACATGTGTATCTTAAGTTTCACCCTAAATATTTAAATCAAGCTGTATTTAAGATTATTGCTGACTTAGTATTTTAGTTTATCCTAAAATATAGCACTGCTTTATAAAAGTTGGACATCACTTGAGTCCTCATTTTTTGAACACCTTCCACTGTCTAATATGCTACTTGTCATAGCTTATGCACCCATGCAAGTAATGTACTTAATGTCAAGTAATGTACTTATGTCAAATCACTGGGTAATAAGTAACTCAGTTGTAACTTCAAGCTTTTTGAAACCATGTCTTTTCTAGCTTCCTGACTTTGATACTCTAAAAATGCCATGCAGACAACCTGTGCTCAGTTGCCATTTGAAACATCAAATATGGGCACTTTATAAACAGGGACACCTGTTATATAATATGTCTAAAACCGGTAGTTTAGAAATCATGTCTACCAACAGGATGTGTGAAATAATTGGTCAAGTACCTGTCTCAACCACTGAGACATTTACAGACTATCACAAGACTATAGTTGCCATACATTCCAAATCACACATACTGGCAGTTACAGTATTATGGTCAACAGGTACAAATATAATAGAGATTGAATTGATATTGTCACAAAAATATTAAAAAGTGCTTCTTGCTCCACACATGGAATGCAAATACGTACATATAAGACACTGAAAGCCTCTTGAAGCTTTTGTCAGACATTGCTTTCTAACTCTCTGTCATTCTCCCAAGAATCTGTCTCTTGCATGTGGTCACACTCAAGGCTGATTTCGCTAGTGTCCATGCTGCAGTTAGATCCACTGTCTGACTGATCCATTTGTTCAGACTTGGATTCTTGCTGGAATATACTGTTCCTACTTGATGCTATTACAGATCCTTCCAAATCAAGGACTCCACTCTCACCCGAGGCACGCAAAATCAGTTCTTTGGCTTGACGGATAGAGTTGAGCCACAACTGTTTATTGAAGGTATCATTTGCTTGTAATGAGTGGGATTGACTTTGTGATCCATTTTTGAAGCTGATTCTAAAGAAGTTTTTAACTGGAAGAAAGAAACCAAATCAGTATATGGAGTGTTTTCTGTAAGATGATTTAAATACTGTGTTAATTTTCAGAACTTTTGGGCTTTGGTTTGTAATTTTTACACAAAATACTAAAGATTTAAAACAATGGCATGTTATTAATAATTTAAGAACTGGGCTACTCTAGGTACCAGCTACATAAAGGACATGTCAAAATAGCATTTTAGAATTTTAAATAAAAAATAAATTTCTGAAATGTTATTATTTGACAAACATCGAAATAATCTAATTGATTCTTACTTCTCTCATTGTTGCTGAATGCACCACGTATGGATCCACCTAATCGCACCTCTCCATCTTGCAAGTCTTCCAGCGTAAGATCCTTCACAGGGATGGGCTGTCGATACATTTGGTAGCAGAGTTGTTCATTATGAAGAATTGTCCGAGTAATTACTAGCACTTCTTGGAAAAGAAAGACATGAAATTTCTGAGGAGAAAAGAAAAAAAGCTTGAGTTTCTTTTCTAGAATTTTCTAAATTATTTATAAACCAACCAATTACTCTAGAGTAAACAGGAAATAGTAATGTTCAACTTCTCTCTCTCTCTCTCTCTCTCTCTCACACACACACACACACAAATGGTATACGTCTTCCTTAATCTCCAGCAGAAGCCTGGGAAATTGAGGGTTATGTGAAATAGCTTAGCTGTTCCTAGCACTGCATTCTTCTGGCAGAGAGCTCCAATGTCATTCCTGGGATTTATTGAAGCCACTCTCCTGCTTAGGAATCACAGCCCTGAGTGGTCCTACTACGACTGGGACCACTTTGCTCTTTATTTTCTAATTCCTCTTTAGTTTTTTCTTCAGGCCCTGGTATTTTCCCAACTTCTTGTACTCCTTCCTGATGTTGCTGTCACTTGGCACTGCTACCATCTATTACCACTGTTATCTTCTGGTCATTGTCTAATACCATGATGTCTAGTTGATTGGCCAGTACCTGTCTCTCTGGATCTGTAAGTCCCACAGTACCTTGCTCCTATTGTTCTCCACAAACATCTGGGGAGGGTGTCTTCCATTTGGACTTCGGAGAGTCTAACTCATACACTGCAGACATTCTTGTACACAATGCCAATTACTTGGTTGTGTTGTTGAATGTATGCTGTTCATGTCTGCATCTTACACCATGCCACTATGTGTAATCTGCACCTTGGGTCCTCTCAGGTGTAATAGAACTCTGCTTCTATGGATCTAGTGTTTAGTGCCTGTTCTTGTGCAGCTATGATCAGTGCTTCAATGCTGCCTTTTAGTCAACCCTTCCCAGCCATTGGTAGGATTTCCCAATGTCTGCCACTTTAGCTATCTGTTGATGGTACATCCCATGCAGGGTCTTGTCTTCCCATGGCATTAATCTTTCTCCTTGATTTTCTTCTCGTGTCTGCTGCTGCCTCAGGCATTTTCTCAGAAGCTCATTTTTGGGTGCCACCTTACTGATGTACTCCTCGACGCTATGGGTTTCAGACTTTAATACTCAATAGATCCCACCCACCCTCTTTCTACCTAGGGTACAATCTCTGATTCAGGGTTGAAAATTCCATATATTGTGAGGAAGTTCTGGATCTTCATGTTCTGCTTTGACCAGCTCATTCTACCAGCAGAATATCTGACTCATATATGTTGATGGCATGGGTCTTGTTCTTCAGAACTGTCTTATCCTTTGATAGTGGTACTTGGGATGCCACACCTTTCTAGTCCTAATGACATCCCAATGTTGTCACTGTAGATGTGTGTCAGATGGATCAGCAAGCTGATGTCTTTCTCACTCTTGCATGCAGTTTGTGTCATCTATGTAGAGGTGGTGGCTGACGGTAGTTCCACTCTTGAACTTGTATCCATATCCACTCCTTATGATTATCTGGTGGAGGAGGTTCAAGCCTATGCAGAACAGCAGCAGGAGCAATACATCGCCTTGGAATATGTGCACTTGATGGACACTTATGCAAATTATCTTGAGTTGATTTTCAGTGTTATTTTCCACAGTCCTATTGAGTTCTTGAGGAAGGTCGTTAGTGTCCTGTTGACTTTGTATAGCACCAGGGATTCACAGATCAAAGTATGTGACACTGAACCCTAGGCTTTCCTATAGTCCAGTGTTTCTCAACCTTGACAATTTTAAGGCATGTGGACTTCAACTCCCAGAATTCCACAGCCAGCAATGCTATAGTCAATCAAGGCTGTGCTCAGATTAGTCTGTTTTGACCTTGAATCTTGGGCAACTGCTCTATCTATGAGCAACTGATGTTTTGAACTGCTGGACTTGTTCCCAATTCCCTTATGAGATGTGCTTATGTACTGACCCTATGGTCCTATAGCTTGGCAGCAATGATCCCTGACAGGACTTTCCATGTTGTGGAAGGCAAGATATTGTATGGTGCTGTTCTCTTGTGGGGATCTTTTGTGACCTGCCCTCCTTTTATGGATCTGAATGGTCATTTAAGAATATACTGGGGTCGGGGAGCCCTAAGGAAATATGAGGGATGGATGGATGGAAGGACGATATCACAATGCTATTAAAAGAAGAATATTTTCTAACACACATTTGTTCCTTTGTTGTTCTAACCAACTGTAGCCTGAAACATCCAAGAGTGTGGTTAATTTGAGCAACAATCTGTTGATGTAAAAATCAGAATTCAAAGGAAAGAGAATAAAATATACCAGGTTTTTTTATTTTGAAAAATAAATCCCTTACCGCTCCCCTGTTGTTTTTTAGTTCACCATGACAGCAAACAACACGTGACTCATCTATCAAGGAGTCCCTTTGGGTATCATCAAGATATATCAGCCTCTCTTTGTAATATTGACATTCAGATTCTCCCGTCTTTTTATTAATTTCTGCTACTATGCCTTGAACAATATTCATCTGGAAAAAAAATAAAGAGATTATTTACAAGCAGGTCAATTTCCAAGCCAGGTTGACAAGTAGCTTCTAAAACAAGATCTATTGAAAGTTAAGTTTTCAATATTTTTCTAGCACAGCATTTCTCAACTTTGGCAGCTTTAAGGTGTGTGGACTTTAATTCCTAGAATTTTTCATTCTGCATAGCGGTTCAACTGAATCTGCAGAAACTTCTTGGTTATCATTAGAGGAAAATATTTGTAGGTCAGTGTTGAAATGAGGGGTCCTTGGTGCTCTCTGGGCTTGATTGTTTTCTTGCAGGTGTTTTATTACCCAAACTAGGTAAAATCATCAATGCTGGACAAGTGAATGAAATGTCTGCAAGAAAATAATCAAGCTCAGAGAGCACCAAGGACCCCTTCACTCCTTGGTTATGTTTTGCGAGCAGGAATATCCATATGATAATATGAATACATCCAGTCCTTGTTCAGTGACCAAGTTCCATTCCAGTGACCAGGTTTTTAAGTGTAATGATTGCTAAGCATACGCTTCACACACACAGAGAGACACATACACACAGAGAGAGAAAGATGCAGTGAAGATCAGCAGGTGCTGCTTTCCCATTCAGATAATGTTTTCTTATTTCACATTAATCTGCATTGTTGTCAGGCATGTGAATTTGGTCATAAATATGTGCACTGGTTATAAAACAATTTTTTTTAATTTATTACCCTTTATTACCACTGTATTTACAAATGATCTGTAAACAAGGTAGTTGCTAAATGAATGACAGTTTAGCACATTTATTCATTCAAGCCTATATCATCAGAATCCTTTTACACATAAATAGCAGGACTTTGTAATTTGATTTTCTAGCTAAAACCTCTAGTATTACATGTGCTTGACCCCAAACTTGCATTGTAATTTGCTGTGCCATAGTAAATAGGGATGCTTTTCTAAATAAACCTAAGTGATTAAAACTAATCCTGCACACTTCTAGTAAAAAACAGTTGTACTGAATTTCCACATCTTCATTAAGAGGAAGGAATTTTAAAATTTGTGGGAGCCCTGAGCACTTGGTGCCTTAGCTATTGCGACATAGCCAATACACAGTTTTCTTGAAATGTTAATCCCTGGTCAGCCTTTGAATACCTAAACTGTAGCAGATATTGCCAGAGGATTAAAGAAAAGGTTTGGCATAAGTAGCTTTGGCATGCTTCTGTTTCTTAGAACTATATCTAAGAAGAAACACTATGGAGAGGAATATTTGAAATTGTGATTTTTAGCCATAAATACACATACAAACAGTCACAGTAAGACCTAGTTCATGTGTTATCAGATTCTTTGTTTCTGCTCAACACAACTTATGGAAACCATTAGTATGGCCAACCAATTTGGGTGTGGAGGTCACACGACCTGTTTTGTCAAAGGAAAGAGATTACTTGATTTACTTCATTAAAAAGGGGACTTGGGGGTGAATATAAGCCATACTGGAGCTGTCTAGCCTGGAAAAATACTTAGCCAATAGGGCAGGAGAAGGCACCTTAACTTTTCCACAGCCTCTAAAATCAATACTGCTTTTCTACTTCTACATTGCTAATATTCTTACATTAACTGTAAGTAATTTTGCATATCAAGCACCTACAGACTCATATACATACATACATACATACATACATACACACACTATTGTAATTCTATTCCTTGAGATGGATAATTCAACATTTTTAAAAAATGGCTCTACTTGCTATATTATTGCTAAATACATACAGCTTCTTCAAGGTGCTGATGATCTGGATGATCATTTGGTGTGTGCCTCAAAATCTCTCTAAGCAGCAATGGATATTTCACCAGACGGCTGCGTGGGATATCAAGGAAATTCCATAAATCTAATTTGCGACTGAACGGCGATTCCAAGCAACGCTGTAGGAAGTCCTGCACTCTGTGATCCTGTTTTTTATGGTCCAGCAAAGCTTTAGCAGCCACTTGATTGCTACAGTAACTATCATAAGAATTCAAGAACGGCAGCTAAGGAAGAAAATAAAATAAAATAATATGTGGCAAGAGTTTTTACATGTTCATATTCATTTGTTGCTTTCAGATGGGATTGTTTTCAGATTTTTAAATCTGCTACTCTAGGTTTCTAATTATGCAGTATTGTAAGTTCTAGAACTTTTATTTTCCTACCTACAGTTTAATGTCTTTGAAAATAGTTATTGGAGCTTTGTATCCAACAATGAGTTTAAAAAGCAAATTTTCTGAATAAATCCTATATATTTGAGCTAATACAACAATGCAATCTTCTGAAGCAAGTTGATATATATCACCTGAGAATGTTATATTTAATCTAACTATGCAAAGATTATATAAATATCACAAGCACTGCTCATCAGCACACGCAAACAGACATTTGTTAGCATATGAAACTGTGAAAGCAAACCAGTTTTCTTTTATGCCTGTGGCTATATGAAGTTAGTTCTTTATCCTTAATCTTCTACAGCAGGAGTGTCAAACTGCCGGCCCACGGGCCGGATGCATCATCCAGAAACCGCGCCCACCCCATTGCCGGCAATGGCAAAACCGTCCCGATACGTTGCGCAACATCACATGACATCGCAAGTTTGACATGTCTGTTCTACAGTGTTAGAAAGGTGCCTTAAATGTTAAAATCAAAGATCTTTTCTTCAAATTTATATCTTTTCCAACTATATTAATTTTAACTCAAATATTCACAAATCCTGCTACTCATCTTTCTATAAACACATTTGTAATGCCAAATAAAATCGGTATTTGAAAAATAGGAACAAGAAAACAAATATGAGTATTTTACATACCCAGCTCACAAGAATGTGACCAACTGATTCTGTAGATCCATCAGGCTTTCTAATTTCCTTTAGTCTCCTAAGAAGATCTGATGAAAATAGAATACTGAGTATTATGGGAATTAGTGGAAGACTTGGTTTATGAATCATTTACTGATAACATTCATAACATGGAAAGGCAGGCTTAGCAGAGAATATAACACTGGTTTTTCCTCTATAGTAGAGTAAGGTCTTGAACTTTTGTGTGAATCAAATATACTGGGTTTCCCTATTTTTTGGCTAAACAACAGAAGATGCAAGCTTGTCAATTTATTATTAGTTTCTAATAATAAAAACTTTTGCCAAATGACATAAAAGCCCCTATCATTTTTATAAGAAAGTGAATCAAGTGGCTTTCTATTCATGTTTCAGTGACAAACCTCATGCAACATACCTAATGGTGTCTTCATACATCCGTTTTAACTGCTGCATTGTTTCAGTTTCAGTTATAATCAGAGCAGAATGATCTGGTATCTCTTAATACTAACCATTTCCACAATTAAGCATCCAGCCCACCCTCTAAAGATGCTATAACGATCAGACAGAAAGCAAAACAACCAATAGCATGTCCCCCATTTCTGATATGACCCTTTTGCAACAATGTTAAGCCTTTCTTCTAATACTTCTGCTTAATTTGGAATCAGAGTCTCTCCCCTCATAGCACCCTTTAAAAAAAAAGAACAAATTTCAGGAAGTCCTAAAAGTAGCTCAATAGAAAGAAAAAAAAACAAAGACACACATACCATTTCACAAATCTGAATAAGCTGAAATAGCCAGTTTTGTAAAATATACCCAGAAAAGCTCTAGTATGTACTCCAGTATTTTATTTTATTTTTTGGCAGTGGTGGAGGACAATTTGATTTTACTAGGAATACTCAATTCCATAATGAAATCTTAACAGATTCCAACCAATTCCAAGGTAAAGTCCTGCTCCATAAACATAAACCTATACAAATATTATAGACAAATTTAAATACTGGACATGGCTGCATATTTCAGTTTATAGATTTTGTACACCACTCTAAAATTATATACAACCATTTCTCCAATATACTGAATGCAAGGAATTATACCTTCATGAAGAGGAATTAAAGAATCTAGTGTTCCAAAAATTTGGTTTAATTCTTGTTCAGACATTATGGAGAGCTTAAGCATTGGATCATGGTACGCCTGTGAAAAGACAGAAAAGCCATACAATAAACAAATGTGTAAACTTTCTATTAGTGATTATATTTATGCTCTAGCTTCTATATTCAAACTTTGTCTTCATTAACATTGGTTACAGAAACAGTATTAACCAGTTTAAAATATGTAAACATGCAGTACCTTCTTTGCTAACTTTAAGTCTTCTATCAAGTCTTCTTCTCCTTGTGAAAGTTCAAATATAGCCTGTAATTTTGAAAACAATTTGAAAAAGAAACTGATATTTTTATAAAATAAATAAACAAATGTGTTATTTCAATATTTCAGTTGGAAATAAAGCTAAAGATACTTTTTTGTTTTCTTTTGCAAGGAAAAAAGATGATAAAACCAATAGATTATATAGTTATTCTGTTTTTATGTGTAAGTTATATTCCAATCTACAGCTTTTATGTTGACAATGATTAGCTGTATGACTAATTACATAGTCCATTTTGCTACATCAGAAAAAGTTATAAAGCAATGGATGCTGGTATAACAGTTTCTCTGACTTTGGGTTAGCATGATTCTTTATTAGAGAATACTATTTTTATATCAGTATTTCAGAATGAGTTTCATATTTTCACACACAGAGACACACTTAACGACTTTTCAAGTTATGAGTACTAGTAGGGTGAAATTACCAGTGTTCATTTTGTCCATTTCCCCTATATTGCTTAAAATATTCAATTATTATAGCCTTCCTTCCTTCCTTCCTTCCTTCCTTCCTTCCTTCCTTCCTCTCTCTTTCTTACCTTTCTCTCTCTCTTTCACCAACTATCAAAGGTTTTTCAGTGGCATATAATAAAATATCATTATCCTTGCTTTAGTTCTAAGGTGCTCAATATAACAGATTAAGAGAATAATGTTTTGTCAATCAGACGCTATATGGAGCTGGCCTCAGAATTCAGCATTACTGAGCTCTCGGTGAGCACCACAATTGGCCAGAGAACCAACAGCTGCCAGAGAAACTAAGAAATGCTGTGTGCCTTTTGCACAGATTCTGTCACTGTGATTCATAATCAGTAATTGGGGAACGTGCACAGAGCACTACATATAAAGCTAAAAAATAGAGATTTTTTTTTTCTCCCTCTTCATTCTCCTCAAAGGAGCAGAGGAGAAATGAAAAGACCTTGCCTTTTGTCTATTACAGGTAGTCCTCAACTTCTAACCACAACTGAGCCCCAAATTTCCATTGGTAAGTGAGGCAATAGTTAAGTGAATTGCACCTCATTTTATGACCTTTTTGCCACAGTTGTTAAGTGAATCACTGCAGTTGTTAAATGAATCATGCGGTCATTAAACAAATCTAGCTTCCCCCATTCACTTTGCCTGTTGGAAGCCAGCTGGGAAGGTTATGAATGGTGATCAGATGACCCTGGGACAGTGCAACAGTCATAAATATATGCCAGTTACTAATTGCTGCAATGGTCATAATAGGTGTGAAAAACAGTTATAAATCACTTTTTTCAATGCTGCTGTAACTTTAAACGGTCACTAAACAAATGGTTGTAAGACAAGGACTACTTGTATCTTGTATGTTGGCATTTCTTAAATTTTAAGTGCATCATTGGTCCTACTATCGGTTTCAGGACAAACTGATGCATGCAAATTATTTTGTTTCCTTAAAATAAATTGGTGTATACAGTGTCTTCTTGCCCTTTAAAACATATTTTTCTAGCTTCAAAATCAGGAATTGTTCAGATGTCATTCTGTTTTTTGCTCTTACTTTTACTCATGACTTGTTTCAAAAGATTTTTATGCTTAAGGTTCTTGGGGTGCAGTGGTCTTGCATGGGGTTTTCTGGCAAAGCAAAATGACTCATTTTATTTCCAGATGAGACCCAATCTATTTGTATAAAAAACAAGAAAAGCTGCTACTTTATGCATGAATGCTTGGAATATCAAATAAAATGTCTTGCTTCTGATTAAACATACACTAGATCATTCTGAATGAACAGCTCAAAGGCTAATCAATTTACAACATCAAGAGACTGAAATGAAAAAAATAGTACCATATGCCTGAGAGGCAATGAATATTTTAATGCAAGAAGATAAAGGGTTCCAATAATATTTCTTTGAGCCAGCTCTGTGTTAACAATGACCAAATATTATTTCTTGCTTCATTAAGCTGCAATTCTCTGTTAGCATACATTATGTGGGTTGTAAAAATCTGGATAAGAATTAGATGACAGCTCACATCTGATATGTCTTCTCTTGCACCTTATGATGTGACATTGATTTCAGGAATATATTAGTCTCCTCCTGGTCACTAATAAAACTTCTGGATTGATTATCTGATAATGTTTTAACAAATTCTAAGTCTTCCTTGTATTGTCTCCAACAATTCTTGCCAATATAATTCTAAATATAGTTTTTCAATGGTAAAAGTGTTTAACACTTTGATCTTATTCTCATGACACAAATATCAAGGTCATGGAAGAAGTGTAAGCATGTCACACATGCATTCCAAAACTGAATTAACACAAGTAACAGAATAACAGCAGGTAAAGGGTTAAATTCAGCCTCAAACAGATACAGTTTTTTTGTTGTTAAGCTAAATCCTTACATATCTTCTATGTTATGCAAATTATTTATCAGAAGGTTAAGTAATCCTTCAAATGTCTAAAGAGGCTTTATGAAAATGGGGCTTCTCTAGGTAATAACTTTGTGGTTGGTTTTAGTTTTCATCCGACCCTTACTCAGTCATATAAGGAGGCTGGGAAAGGGGCAGAAAACAGGGTAGTGATGAATATTGTTCCCTTGTACCTGACTCTAGGAGTGCTGTTTCAGTTGTGAAACCATTTTTCCCCCAACTCTGGAGTGGGAAGTGGGTGGGAAAGCAGACATGGAAAGGGAAGCAACAGTGACAATTGGATGGCTAATTGAGGTCTGTGCTAGGAGGCCAAATTTAAAGACTGGTAAATGTGTGTTGTGCTAACATCTTGAGAGCTGCACATGTTCAGGAAGGAGACCTCCTTACCTCATTAATCATTGTCTAAGTAGCCATTCTAGAACTAAGACAGGAAGCAAAATGTGCAACTATAATTTTGCCATTCGTTCCTGCCTTTCAATATTCTTAATCAATGGAAAAAAACATTTGTAGCAACAATTCACACTGGCTGAGTTCACCTATCAAGAAAGGCTATAATATTTCTTATTTGCTTTTAGCTTAAGATGTTATAGGTACCCAGACACTGTGATTTCTAAAACACCGTTTACAGCTTAGCACACAACAAGTTCTACATCACTTTCCTTGTTCATTTGATTGCTGCTCTATTTAAAAACAAATCAGAAATCCAGAGGAATCTTTTCTTTCTATTTGTAAACTCCATCCACCCTTCAAACTATAACTGCATGAGGAAAATATTTGGGTAGCAGCAATAAGAAGAAAATAGAAAAGCCATAGAATGAGGTGATGTATTTTTAAAAATGGCCCTGTCCTTATATTCAGGCTTTCTTCCTTGAGCCAGACTTATTCTGCCACTACATTGCTACATGCAGAAGATTCTCTTCCAGCATCAATGGCCAGTTGGCTTTTGAATACCAAAGCTAGGGGGGGGGAATGATTTATTCCATTGTAGTATAAAGCAAAATAGACAGAGCTCTGTAGCAGGAGCCAGTTTAATCAGATGCTGCGAGAGTCACTTTTACAGACTGGAGTAGTAATGTATTAACAGTTCTTAGCAGCATCAGGGTAAAGATATGTGGTGTGTGGAGTTCTTAGTGCTCTTTGAGCTTTTGGGCTTGCAGACATTTCATTACCCAGCTAGGTAACATTTTCAGCGCACTACTTAATGGGATAATGAAACATCTATAAGCAAACAACCATGCTCAAAAAGCACCAAGTCTCCACAGTTCAACCCTGAACTGTATATATTCTCTTACATAGATGTGTGGCAGTTCTGTTACTGCCTCACGTGCAAAAAAGAGGGAATTCATCTGTGAAGAGCGAATTTACTGTATACAGAGCCAGGTACACATTCATTTTTACCTCTTAATCCCATTTCAGAAAAAAAATATTCAAAGACAATATAAATAAGCAAACCTCTTGGCGCTTAATTTCTTTGGATGTGAGCATCTGATTGACACAAACATCAAAAGTCTCACTCCAGAGTTTGCTGTCTCGTCGCTTGGTGCTAACAGAGGGTACATTTCTCATCCAGGAACGGGATGCAATTAGGTCAGACCGACTGTCACTACGAAAACTGATAGAACGCTAGGAAAAAGGAAACTATAATTACTACTTAGATAACATTTGATTTAAAGCATTGGTGCAGAAGCAGGATGAGACTTGGTTGCTGATTTTGGACTAGCCTAGCTCACAAGTGTCATGGCAATAACATTGGGTAGAAATCCATATACTACTTTGGTATTTTTGGAGGGAAATTATAATAAATAACAATTTCCTTCTTAAAACTTACCCATAACTAAACTTTGTCACAGAAGAAAATTGATAAACTTGAATACATAATTTGGCTTGGAGAAACCCTACAATTTACTGTAAATAAAGTTCTAAATGTGAATTTACCACTGTAAACATAATGCATGTTTAGTTTTTATTCAGCAACAAAATGAAAGTGTTAATGTTCAAATGGGAGTCTCCATAATTATCGTAAATATGGCATTTTGTATTCATTGATCACTCATGTACAGTACATACTTGAAAAAGAAATATACATAAACCATATTGTTTTATGACTTAAGAATTTTAAAAGGCATTTTGCAAAAAAAGAATTATAGAGCGGGTCTACTATCATCAAACTACACTCCTTTATCCCTGATACTAGAGTAACCTGCAGCAAGAGAGATCCAGCTGACATCTACTCAGAATAAATCATTGAATTCCAGGCAAAACATACAGATGCCATCAAGATGTGTTAAGAATTGCAGTTCCAATAGCACTTTAAGAGTTCTAGAGCATATCCTGAGTAGAATTTTTGGAAGCCTATGTGAGGCAAAATAGATTATGCTAAATATAGCACCTAAAAGGTAGGTGCATATAGTACTGTAACAGTGCCAGGCATAACCTCTTTGGAGAAGACATCCCACTGCCCCAATATTGTTAATATAATCTCTTTAGTAGATGTAATGTTCACTGCTAACAGCTATTATTTAGAAAACATCATTGAAACATGCTGTCTGTATGGAAGGAGGTTTCTCAGCAAAAGGCACTGGCTTCCAGTAATTCAGTTTCAAACCATTTAAGGTTTTAAAATTAAACAATAGTACTTTGAATCTGGCTTGGAACCAAATTTATAGCTGGTGAAGTTTGCTGAAATATAATTGAAGGAAGTACGGGCAGCCCAAAATCTGATTGTTCCAGTCTTCTCAAATTGAAGCTTCTGGATTATATTTTCAGGGGTCTTAATATGATCAGTGGGTTACTGCAGTACTCTTTTAGCAAAGCAAAGTAAACTCAATGTCACAAAGGCGATCTGGATTTTGCAGTCCAAGTGTTGAATTCAGAAACATCTCCAAAGGTGCATATTTACCCACCATTTGGGGGGGGGGGATTCGCTCTGAAACAATTTGATAAATCTCTCTAAATTAAAGAAAAATTGGGGAATTGTGTACCTACAGAACTGATTTCTTAATATTCATCCTTCCTGTGTATCAAACAATGTGCCCTAGGAATTTTTTTATCATTGCTAATAGTTACAAGGTAAAAATACCAAAACAAATGCAACGATCTTAAAGCTGCCAAAATTTACATGTTTTATCAACAAAATATTGAAAGTTCCAAAGTAAGTAAAACAAGCATACTTCAAGCTAACAGAGCAAAATATTGAATATACTACCCTGCCTAAATCTAATTCTTGTACATATCAGAGAATACTTTGGTGAGTAAATGACAACAACGAAATAAAATGTAACAAAAATATTTTTTAGTCTCACAGTTGTTCTTGGTTAAGTTTCACTACTGTCTCAATCTTTAGAGGAAGGGATTAATAAATGTAATAGATGTATTATAGCCATGCCAGTCTTCCCCAGCAACATTTATCAATTACCACAAGAAAGAGTTGCTCAGTTTTTTATAGATACTGAAATACTCTTTATTAAAGGGTTCATATTTTATAAAACAAATATAACATAGTTTGATCAATTCCTTTTAATTATAAACAGACATTCTGTAAATTTACACTTTACATACATGTAAAGCAGACATGACAAACACAAGGCCCGGGGGCCGGATGCGGCCTGCAAAGTGCTTTCATGTGGCCCGCGAAGCCATCCTGGAAACGGAACGGCCCCCGCTGCCTTGGCCCTGGCCCAGGCCTGCCGGGAGCCAATGTACAATTTTGTGGTGGCCATCTATGCTGAAACACATTCAGTCTTAGCTCCACAAGGCCGTCTAGACTCTAGAAACAGCGAGGAACCAGCCCCTTGGGTGCATGCTGGGGAGGTGTCACCCTTTGTGAGGAATGAAGAAATGGACCATGCCTTGGCACTTGTCCTGATCCCACCCCCTTCTGCCAGAGACCCTCAGATCTGTCCCACTCCTGCCCAGGCTCCCACAGGCACCCTTGACGCGAACGATATAGAGCTGGCTATGCCCACCCAGTAGGCCACACCCACTCCATCCACGCCCATCCAGTAGGCCGCACCCACCCTGGCCACACCCACCCGCCTCCCCGAGGGCAACCGCAATGCTGATGCGGCCCTCAATGAAATTGAGTTTGACACCCTGATGTAAAGTGTCATATAATATTTTATGAATGTTAAACAAAAACCTAATTATCTTTATGCACTTGGAACAGAATATTCATTGAATTGTATAAAATAAAGATACTAAGATTGAGGTAAAAGATCTGATAAGTTACTAGCCAGGAAACTCATTGGAGAAACCATGACTAACAATGGTGAGAGCCTTAAAATATATCACGATGTCTGTTAAGGATCAAAGGAAATATGGATTAGCCTACCAGGAGGACAGCATTTGTCTAAGTCAAAGCAAATGGTTTTTTTATTGTCTCACTGATATAAAAGAGCCTACCAAAGGTGGAGGAGAAAGAGGGATGAGATATTGATGTCAAAAGATTCTTTGCCTGACCGTGGAGAGATATGTAGATCTGTTAGTTGGCTCTTTTACTACCAAGCTTGACTGTGGTAAGAAAGCTGCTATGGAAATTACAATACATCATGACCATATGCTTTGCAATGATTTTATAACTCTATTCAGAGTACTAAAAAGTTCATATCAGCTTCAATTGCTCTTGCAAGGACACTGGGTAAAATCATTTATCTGTCCTTTGTCCTTGAAACTCGAGCACAGACTAAAATGCCCTTCTCAAAACATTTCATGTTTTGACCAACTTTTATTCTGAATATTTTAGTTCATAAAAATCACAGAATTGGAAGGGGCCATTTAGGTCATCGCCCCCCCCCCCTTGATCAGAGTAGGAATCCATATTATTAACAATTTTTGTTCAAAAAAGCAATAGCACTATGAAAACTTTCCTTTTGAAATATATTGTTTGAGGATATCTGTTATACTGTACTTGAGCTGTTTTTTTTCATAGCTTCAGACTGGAATTTAAAATTTATACTTAAGAAATTACTTCTGAAGATTAGTTTCAGACTGCAACTTGGTCTCCTTCTTCAACAAGTAACAAAAAGGCAAGTGTGTTGTTTTATCTAGTTAGAATTAAAACTATATGTTGACAAAAGATCAGCAAACGGACCATGGGTTCTGATCTGTATCTAATCAGTTGATCAGTTACTGTAGGCAAATTCTGAATCATTTTAATAATATATCAGATCAGAATAATTGTGCTTTATGTTAGTTAAATGCTCTCCTCGTATTTCTCTCATTTTACTTGTCTGTTAACAATAAACTACCTGTTGCCATTCAGTTGAACAAATATCCCCTAAACCAGGGCTTTTCAACCTTTTCACCCATTGTACCACTTTTAGGATATGGCAATATCTGAGTACCATCAGTCGCCTAGCAAGGTGTCAAAAACTTGATGACCCCCCCCCCAAAAGAGAAAAAGTGATAAAGTACAGGTAGTCCTCGACTTACAACAGTTCGCTTAGTGACTGTTTGAAGTTACAATGACACTGAAAAAAGTGCCCCCAAGCCACAGCCGAGCAAGACACCTGCCTGCCCACCCGGTGGCGCTCTTCCTCCTGTCCGAGGTTTTCATTGTTGTGAGCAATTCTGTTGAGGATTGGCAGCGGGGGTGGGGTGGGGGGTGTTTGGTTTTTATTCCCCCCGTCTGCTGGGTGATTGCAGCAGGTTTGGGTCACTTCACATAACCCTGGGACACTGTGATCGTCATAAATATGAATCAGTTGCCAAGCATCTGAATGTAAATCACAAGACCCTGGAGATGCTGATCGGCACTTCTTCTGGGCTCAGCAGAAGTGCCAGAATCAGTGCCGAGCTCCAGCTGGAGCCTGGCGCTGATCCTGGCGCTTCCACTGAGCCCTGACAGCCCTGCAGCTCCAGCCATCTCTTGCTCAGGCTTGTGCGGTGCTGCCACCGGTTCAGTTCATTCCCCTCCCCCACTACCACTTTTCTAGGATGGTCACGTACCACCTGCCAGATGCCAATGTACCACAGGTGGTACCCGTACCACTGGTTGAAAAGCCTTGCCCTAAACAATATTCTCCAAGCATTATTGAAATATTACAAACCCTCTTCCAACTCACATAATTTCTTCAGAATCTTATTAGAAATTGAGCATATCATGCTCAAGAAAAATCAAAGGGCCTGATGTCCGTTCATCTCTTTCTCTCTCTAAACAAAAAGTAACTCACAGGGCAACCAAGATAGTTTCAGCATCCAAATCAGATACAAATCCAATTAAAATTCACTGTAATCTAGAATATCTACAGTAGATCCTATTGGATACAACCTGCAAAATATGTTCAATTGTACAAGTGAATCATGTTTGGATGGCCCCAAGATAATCACCAAAGCCACAATATCTTGACCCATAGCTCTAGTCCTTTCAATCCATGACTCTATTAGTTGTCAACCTTAAATCCAAGTCCATCTTACCCAGGAGAGTATGAATAGTAAGATGTTTTTCTGTGAAATATATAATTTTTTAAAGTTCTGAATAGAAAGGTAAAAACACTGGACTATAAGGGATATAGATTGAAGCATTACACTAATATTTGATGAACTGGAAGCCTGGGCAGAAAACTTAATCCAAACTCTGATGGGCAAACAGGATCCATCATTCTTATTTTTTTTATTATCTTATTGCTTTTCTTTTCCTAATCCAACATTTGATCTTTTGGCTACAAATGGATAATTCTTTCTTTCTTTCTTTCTTTCTTTCTTTCTTTCTTTCTTTCTTTCTTTCTTTCTTTCTTTCTTTCTTTCTTTCTTTCTTTCTTTCTTATGAGACCTCAGAAAGGATGCATGCAAAAACTTTATTTGTGTTAGTGGACAGGTATATATCATAGTGGGCCCAATGCCTTTTTAATTTATTTTGTTTCAAAAAACACATGTTCATCATGGTAAGGACCATAATAAATAACTATTTTAAAATATATAACACTGTAAGAAGCAAACAAGTACTGTATCTTTATGAAAATAGACACATGGAGCACAATAATAAAACTTAGCAACCTTTAATTCACTTTCCCTCTGAACAACAAGAATGAGTCATCTTTCTCTCTGGGTGATATTTATATTAAAAGAAGAGTAAGGTTGCTTCAAGCCAGGAGATTTGTGATGTTTTTCATATATTGCTCTTTGACTGGAAACCACAATAGGAACTGCAATTTATTTTTGACATCAGTCTCACCTTTTTTGGTATATATCCCATTATGTTCTGTCCACATCAATCAGTACAAATAAAGAAACAGAACTACTTTACAAAATTATTTTTTACTGAAGCAACAGTAATTCTGTTTGTGCATGTGTTTCAGAGTCAAAAGCTACATGTTGGGGCTTTCTCCTATCCCCACTCTCATTTTTAAATCGGAAATGGTGCTAGACTTCTTTGGATGCCTGCTACCCTCATGTAAATCTTTGGTGTAGATGCATGACATGAATCAGAGATCCTAATTATTTTTGGATAGCAAGACATCTAGAATTTATTAAAGGTACTCTTAGAAAATAACTATCATGGTGGGTGTGGTCATTCACAAGTGGATTCACCTCTAATCAAACCTGTCCTAAGAATATCTGAATTATATGTTGGTCTCAGAAGCATTTTTTGAAATAAAAATTATGCTTAAGTCTGGTGATTTTCTTTGCAGAATGCTACTTTCCATCTAATTTTATTTCTTTATTTAAAGAATCTAAATCAAATGAAATAATGAGGCATGGATCTTGTAGGTTCCAGAGGAGATATCTGCAGGCACAGTATCACATTAGGGATCCAGCTTCTAGATTTGATCCTCTGCAGCATGTTGCAAAGTTTAAAAAGAGAGACTATAGTAGTTTGTATCTTTAAAGTCAGTAACAATATCTATTGACTTACTCTATAGCCATTATTTGGGTGAGACAATTTCCAAATGAGATTACAGACTGAACTGCTTCTGAAAACACTGCTACTTTCTCAAACTGAGAAATTTGGAATGAGTGGAATGAAATGAATATGATTTTCTTCATATTTATATTGTCTGACTATTTAGTAATCTAATGGTCTGTTTTCTCTCTCCTCAGAAAGATGCTACACAAAAGCAGCTACTTAGTTATATAATCGATACTGATCTGCTTTCATGTATAATTTAACCTTCAAATTATCAAAGCAGTTGATTCATCAATATTCATTTTCATGCAGTCTGTACAAATGTAAACAGATGACTGGATCTTGGTTCATTAAAATCATAATTATTTTGCCCTGAATTTGCATTTTTAAGTATATATTTGAAAACTGAGTACCGTAGATTGCAGCAATTGGAAAAAAAAATCTGTTCATTGGGCTTCAACACAAATATTAAAGTTGTCTATTTAAAATTAAAACAGAATTATCAAAATAATTCTACCTGTACATTTAAATATTACTCTTTTCTATAAAAGTCACATTTTAGGCCAAAAAAATCTCCAGTTGAATATTTTACGTAACTATTGTTGAGAAATTAAAATGCAATGATAGTTTAACAATACATTTTATGCTCATTTTTGTCAGAAAAAAAGAAGGGTTTTACAAAAAGCAAGCAACCCTACAAATATAAATTGTTATACAATAGAACTCTTTCATTTAGCTTCCCAAAGTAAAAAAAAAAACATCATTTATATTTTTTAGATTTTGGGAGCATTTTTCACTTGTATGTATGTTCAGTATGGAAAATTGCTCTTTGCTTAAGACAAAAAAAATTGAAAACACAGTTATATTCATTACACCAAATCCCACTTAATAATTTTGAAGACACTCTTTCCCTTATCAGGGAGATGGGCAGCATATTAATTAATAAAACAAACAAACAAACACACACACACACACACACACACATACATACATACCTGGAGTGTCTGTCCAAATCGCTTCAAGGGAGTTGTTCGGACAGGAGGAATTAGGTTTGCTAATGATGTCACTCTAGAAAGAGGCTTGACCCGCTTGTTACTGGGCTCCTGTAAATTTTAGACAAATTAATTACATATAAGCTTCATTATACAGGTGATTGTAATGATAATACAAAATAATATAAGAGGAATAGATAATGCAGGAGGAAAGCCACAACAATGTTACCTAGCCAGTCAGCCCCCTCCCCCAGGGCTCTAACCTGTAAAGGAGGTGTTTTTTTTTTGTAAGATAGCGCTGACTTAAATCAGGTCATTAAACATGTTTATCCTAATATTGTGTTGGGGCTCAAACAATCACTCCATTCAGACCCTACTATCTAGATGATCTCATGTGACAATGAGAAGATAACAGGATTGAGCAGATTCGTATGACACTGATTTGTAATGGCCCTTTTTTGGGTGGAGGCTCTGGAAGTCTCCTAAAATAATGCAAAGAAAGAATGTTATGCTCATGGGTACCTCTTGAATGCTTTTAAAATATTGTGTATTACATTCTGATGCAGACACATTTACTATCGCCTTATGGCACTCTCTCCTCCCAACACATACACTAACACCCTCAGTATTTCATGATTAAGTTGCTCTCTTCACCGTGCTCCTCAGGGTTATCTTCATCAAATAATTATGAGGTTTCTTTGTTTTTCTCTTTTAATTTATAAAGTAATATCCTTTTGTGTTAGGGATAATTTTTTTAAGTCTGTATTCTTTTGGTTTCAGTGCAGTATACCTGATAATTCCCTTTCTTAAAGTGGCTCCTTGGATCATTGGCCATGGTACCTGGAATGATGGGAAGTGTGGTCCAACATATGGAGGCAACATTAGGGATGGCTAAGCTATAGCAATACATTTCCTCAATAAAGATATTTTTTCTCAATAGACCCAGCTCTAGCAAACATGAAATGTCTGCAGCTCCAAGAGACTGTATTTGTGTGTGTGTGTAGAGAACACATAACCCAAAATGAGTGAGATATTTTCTTTGAAATGGGGCTTACTATTTAAAAAGTGTATGCAGAATTACATTTTGTTAAACAACTTTGTTCCAAAATTCAGTTCCCAAAACAATTTCTTATCTCTTTTAATAACATAAAAGGTGCTGCTATGGATGTTTTGATGAGCTCATTCCTGAAGGGCATAGATAGTGTAAAAACAGAAATATTTAGCCTCAAATATTTCTCCCTGCTGATACTCAAATCATTATACATTTCTCTATTCAATAAGTATCTTTTGAAAGAGACAAAAGTTAGAGCATTAAAATGACAATATCTGTAAAGAACATTTGCACATTTAACACTATTCAACATCCTATCTTTATCTAAATGCACTGACAAATATAAGTATATTTATTATTTTTAAACACTTAATAAACATCTAGCATTGAGTAGGATACATAAATAATATATACTGTTTAAATCTGTGTCTGTCAAGATTTTCTGAAGAAATAGTATTACTTCTGCATGCCAGAAAAATATAAACAAAACTGGTAAATAATTTTTAAAGTTGATGATTACCCTTGCCTTCCTAATATCCATCCCGCACTGAAGGGATCTTGGGCAGCACATGTAAAAGGCAAAAATCTGAGAGAGAAAAACTCAAAATGTTCCGGATGATGTGAAAAAAAAAATCCAAAAATATAAAAACAGAAAAACCCCAGGACTTTTAGAAGATATGAATTTAATAACTCATCAGAAATAATATTTTAATCAACATTTTAAGCACAATCATCTCTCTTTTTCAGCCATAATTATGAAGTTTAGTTAAGCACCTTGTAATTCCAGGTTTGTAGGGGGAAAAATTCCCAGGGAAAATAAGCCAGACCTTACTGTAATCTTCCATATGTTGTTAGTACATTCATTGTGGCAATTCTTCTTGTAAACAAAAACAAACAAACAAAAACCAGGACAGTGGTAGCTTCTTTAATTCTGGTCAGAAATACTATTTCCATCAGTGCAGGTATGGACAGGAGAATCAAATGCAAAGCTAGGTATTTATTTCTCTATAGATGAAGCTGAAGTTTATCAATATCCCCTAAAGCCAGGCACTAAAATGTGAAAAAGCCTCCCATATATCAAGACCCTATTCCATTGTGGATGCTCTGCAAACAACAAAAGCCAGCTTGCCCTCATCTTAGCCAAGGTGGATTCAATTTCCTTTGTCTTCGGCAGCGATGGCTTAGCTCAGTCTTTTGGATGGTACATTTATTTTTACGCCACTGCAGCACCACCAGAATACTGAACACAGGAGGGACGTCTGTGAGTGTTCGTTCACTCGTTCACTCTCGTTCTCCTCTAAATGGCCCTTCAAGCCCTCAGCGGCTTCTTGCTTAGCATGCCTCTGCTGCTGTGTGTGCCCCTGCTCTCCCGGGGGGGGGGGGCGGAGAAAGGATTCTCGTCAGTCCCACTGCAGTCCCAGGCACCTACGTCCCAAATGCCATGGGGGCAGAGCTATGCTGCAATCTCCTTTTCAGAAGGTGTGATATTCTTCAGATATCAATTTTCTTCAGATATCAATAAACAATATTCAAACTAGACCTAGTCACAGCTTGGTAGCAAAACTGCGTTTCAGGTATTATCAGAAACTTGTTATTTCTACACTGTAATTCCAGGCAGTAAAACATAGAACTTCAAGATGTTTAGAAATTCCTTCTTGTTAATTATCTCTGATTTTTTTTCTCTGTGAACAACGACCTTCACAAAAATAAAACACTGTAGGCTCCAGATAATAAGAGGAAAACTCATTTGAGGCTGAAGATGCTGATTTGTTCCAACCTTTGAAATGTAAACAAAGTATCTTTGAAATTATGTGCTCATGAACAGCACCTTTGCAGTTAAGAAGCAAGAAGGTTAAATCAGTTTTCTGTCTAGATCCAAAGTCCTTTCAAAGTATTCTATCAGGGGCTGCAGGTTAACAAAGGATGAGGCCACATTTCTGCCTTCCCTCTTTGTCAGAGATTATCTTCTCTTTTCCTCTGTGCTTAGCTGGCTGCCAATGGAGAGAGACAGATCACTGATTACATGCTATCTCTAGTTTAAACTATCCAATCATATGGGCAAAGACCAATTGCTTTGGTCTTTTCTGCAGAATTAATACTCCCCGTCCTAGTACAAAATTAATTTTCAGCAGCCATATAATTTCCTCTTGCTCTTTGACAATCCTCCCCGTTAGTATTCATTTAACACCATTTTGCATCTAAGCTGGAAAAATCTCTAAAAGGACATTCAAATCAAAGACAAAGTTCAGAGGTGGTATATATTTACATACAAGTTATATTTTCCTAAGCTTAGTAAATGCCAGACTATGGAGAATACTGCAGAGCCAATCTACTAGTGTAGTTAGATTGCTATCAGGGCTTATTGTGATAAGACAGTTGTTGAAAAAGTAGCATCATGCCAGGTCTTTCAAGGTGATACAGGACTGGCCTTCTTTGTTATCTTTCCAGCTACAGTATTTAATAATTATTCATAAATCAGCATCTCACACACCGCTGGAATAATCTCTGAAAACTAACTTGTTAAATTTTATCCCATTCTTTAAGCTTGCATAGATCTTTTAAACCTTCTCTTTCTCTTCTAAAGAGTTAACCACTCCTCCTAGTTTTTGACCACTTGCAAATGTTATTCTCTCCCTCAGTTCAGATCATTAACAAAAATGTTGAACAGAAGGCCTTGTACAGCTTTGTAACATGTCATTTGATACTATTTACCAGGCTGATCTGGAACTACTTGTGTGTCATGCAACCAATAATGAATTCATTTAACAGCTGTATCTTACGCCTGTGTGCTTATCATTTTATTAAAGGGGATATTATGAGAGTCTTTGACAAATCTTTTGCTGAGATCAAGGGATAGCACATCCACCCCCAATCTATTAAGCTGATACATCTGTCAAAAAGTAGGTAAGATTAGTTAAACATGACATGTTTGCGACAAACTCATGCTGGTTCTTGTCAATTTTGCATTTCTGTCTAAATGCTCACAGGTAGTCTGCTTCAGGCTTTTGCCCAGAACAGTTGTCAAACAGTAATTTTCTAGGTCCTTCATCTTCTACTTTTGAAGATGTAGATGCTTGCTTTCCTTGTTTTTCTAGGCCTTGCCAATTTTTCGCTGGGACTCAAAAATTTCACCTCTAGTTTTACCTTCAGTAGAATCAGATGTAATACATCCTGCCCTGGAGAGTTGGATTCATTTAAAATTAATGAAATGCTATATTGCTCTCTCCTTGTCTATCTTCAAGTTGCAACTTTTTCTTCCCACTATTGGGCACAGAAAGGTGTAAGAGTAGGTCTAGGACTGAAAGACCTTACACACACAGACACACACACACACAGCTGCAGATTTTCCCCTTATCAATGGAGAAAGTTGCCTCCTAGCCAATGCACCACAGTGCTTTGAGGGAGAGTCTCAGTAAATTTCTATCCTAATGTACATTTATTAAGATCATTGTAATTCTAAATTAAAGAGCTTATATGCTGGATTCCTTGTATTACTATTTCTTTTACCTTAATTTTCCCCCCTAAAGACAACTAGCTATCTAGAGTTCTTTTTCATTACTGAGAGAGGATAAATATAAAACACAAGTATTTCATCTTTTTGCCATCTCCTATTATTAATTCATATCTTTTTCTTTGCAATAGTCTTACGGCTTCTTTGCCTTTTTATTCCTGACGGAGCAGAAAGAGCCTTTTATGTTGTTTGGGGTATTTTTCACAAGCCTCAGCTCCTTCTGAACTTTAAGCTTTCTGGCAACTGCTTTATATCCTTTTTTGGTTATACAATCTTCCTTCCATTGCCTATAGATATCCTTTTTCTTTTTAGCATTTCAGGAAGCTGTGTATATCCACACTGATCTTTCTTACAGTCTACTACTAGCTTGTGATTGTATCTTTCCCTCCCCCTTCTACTAGCAATTGCTTGCGATTGTACCTTTAATTGTTTCACAAGATTTCCCATCCTTCTCAGTCATTATTCTCTGTCAGATTTTTAAACAATTTGATCTAAAATAGCTCTCATCTGAGTTCCCCGAGGCCCTGGTGTGTTATAATCCAGAAAATA